CCATCTTTCTTTGGTGAAATGAATGATTTTTAAGACCTTTGTAAAATTTGAGTCTTGAGAAAAGATGTTTAAGACAATACCTTCGGCACCATCTATTTATAGAGAGAGTAATAAAAGGAAACAGAAAGAATATGTTGCACATCCAATGTCTCATCACCGCTGGAAACTCAAATAAATATTACTGCACATGAGTTTCATGCTCCAAGAATCTGAAACAGAAAGGGAACAAACTTTGAATATTTTTGTTGTCAACACATCATGCCAGCATTTGAAGCTGAAAATTTGGATCTTAGTGACATCATGGACTACTTTTCTTGTAGCTTTTGGAATCTTTAATGCAATGAAGTTGATCTAATAATATAGGCCATTCAACTCATGAAGGCTGGGGTCTCTTAGCTTTGGACATCAAAGAAATATAGTATAGGGCACACACGGAATCATTTAATTGCCAAATGTGATTACAAAAATTCAAACTACAAAACAGATCGTAACAATGAACTTAGACCCCATTTTACGTGCTTAAATATGACAACTTTTTAATTGCACATAGACTAATTAGCCCATGGTGAAGAACAAACAGAATCTTGACCAATTATACTATCATATTATTGCTCCTCGCTGTTGCATTATCATACTGTCATTACTGATCAAACAGTTTTTTTTTTTTCATAATTAAGTTGTGATAATAAAATTTTCCATTTCACAGTTCTAGTCATCCACATGATACAGTTAATTATAATTGCTTCTTGTTCTTAGAGATGGGATCTATCCAGAATATAACTGCTGCACAGAATATTAAAAGAACAAAAAAGTTATTAGAAAAGGTGAAAGTTCATCCAAAAGGTAAAGTATGTTATGCTTGGTTGAGATAAAAATCTTGAAAAAGAAAATACATCAGATTCGTAAACATATATGAGCTGAAGGTTCAAACGTTGATTGTATTATATATATATTGACAATGATTTACATGAGTATATGGGAGCGATCACAAAAGGCTAATGGTTGAGGACATTAAGAAGAGAAACTCTAGTTTTAACTAAACTCCTAAAGAAGGCTTCCAAGTTCTCTTCAAGTTCCTGGAAGATCATTTCTGATTCTTTTAACTGCTTCGTGACATTTTGCACAGATAATGTCTCTATGGCTTTTCGCAACTTGTCGATGTTCAAGGCATACAATTCTTCTTCTGTTTGTGAATGTACATGGCTTGATCGACTGAACTTGGAAACTAATGACCAAGCTTTTTGCTTTGAGGTAAAAATTGTTAATGCAGACTTGAGGACAGAGAAGCTAATGGCCTGTCCTTCTTTTAGCATGCTTGCAACAGCTTTAAGATTGCTGTCTTTGTTTAAGAACAATGTAGAACATTTGTCGAAACTCTTCAGATTTTTTAAGCACTTTTTAACCATTTTCTCTATCTTTTTTCTTGAATTCATATATGTATCAATGCCTCTATTTCTTCTCAAAGATGATTCGAGTTCTTCAACAGATTCCTTTGTCAACAATATAACATCTCGAGCAATTCCACATATGTCGACAAGCTCGAGAGATCCATCTAGCAACTCACAGGCCTGATCGATGAGGGCTTGCTGGACAGATGGAAGCTGAATCAAATTATTAATATCTTCATGTAAATCTCTGAGGCTTGCCAATTGTGCGCATATGGAAGAAGCTGAAACGGATGCTTCTTCTGAGGACTTCAGTCTGCAGATATGGTCTTCAACATTAGCAATTTCTGGATGAGATTTAGATGGTAAACTGTTTGATCTGAGATGGAAAGCCATCTTTCTTTGGTGAAATGAATGGTTTTTAAGACTTCTGTAGAATTTGAGTCTTGAGGAAAGATGTTTAAGACAATTCCTTCAGCATCATCTATATATAGAGAGATGAATGGAAGGAAACAGAAAGAATATGTTGTACATCCAATGTCTAGTCATCGCTGGACACTGAAATAGATATAAATGCATATGAGTTTCATGCTCCAAGAATCTGAAACAGAAAGCGGACAGGCTTTGAATATTTTTTCGTTAACACACAATGCCAGCATTTGAAGCTGAATAGTAGGATCATGCAGATCTCAATGACATTATGCACTCCGTTTCTTGAAGCATTGGGAATCTTGACAGCAATGAAGTTGATTGAATAATATTTGTCATTCAACTCATGAAGGTTGGGGTGTTGTTTATCTTCAGACAATGATGCAGTTTAATATAGTTGCACACGAGTACAAGACAAACCAGCTCAACATCTTTGAAAATAAATGGGATTATTTAATTGTCCAAAGTGAGTTAAAAACTATAGTCCAAAAGAGTAAAAAATGTAAAATCCCCCTTGTCTTAGCCAAAATTTACTTTCTTAAATCTGGCTATATATTAATTGTATTTTAGAAGTTACAGCACCTGCAGATTAATGAAAATGCTTATTTTTTCATCCACTAACTAGTCAATGATAAAGAACAAGCAGAATCTGACAGCCTAGCACTATTATTGCTCCTAATGATTTTACATTAATCTTCACATTGTCATCAGTTTATTGACAGGGTATTGAATATATTTAAGCACAATGGTATTTTAGCCATGAAAAATTACACGGTGAATCACATTCTGGTTGAAGTGAAAAGCCCAGAAAATAAAGGTACTTGTATGCCAGGCTGAGAAAAAATCTTTACGAATTAAACAGATGATATCTGGATATCAACAGAAGTGATTGAAGCTTCAAAAATATCAATTCTCTGAAAAACAGTATTGGTAAAAGTGGCAATATCAATATTGACAATCATTTACAAGAGTATACGACTGTCTGGTATAGAAAAGAACAAAAATTGTCAATTTCTGAAGTCTAATGGCTGAGTACATTGAGAAGAGAAACTCTAGTTTTGACTAAACTCCTAATGAAGGCTTTTAAATTCTCTTCAAGTTCCTGGATGGTCATTTCTGATTCTTTCAACAGCTTTGTGACATTTTGCACAGATAATTTGTCCACGTCTTTTTGTAATTTTTCAATGTTCAAGGCATACAATTCCTGAGCATTGCTCTCATCTTCTGTCCAAGAATGTACGTGGCTTGATTGGGTGAACTTAGAAACCAGGGACCATTTTTTGGTCTTGATGCAAAAATTGTCAGTGCAGCTTGAGGACAGAGAAGACAATGGCTTGTGCTTCTTTTAGCATGCTTGAATTGGCCTTAAGATTGCCATCTTTGTTCAACAGTCAAATTTTTGATGCACTTACTACCAATTCTGTCGATGTTTTTCTTGAATTCATATAGGCATCAACGCCTTCATTTCTCCTCAAAGATGATTTGACATCCATCAAGAAACTTTGCAGGACAATTTTCTTCAGCGAGGGCTTGCTGGACAGATAGTAGCTGAATCAAAATATTAATGTCTTCGTGCAAATCTCTGAGGCTGGCCAGCTGTGCAAATGGAAGAAGATGATATTGATACTTCTTTGGAGGACTTCAGCCTGCATAAATGATCTTCAACATTAACAATTTTTGGATGAGATTTGATGGCAAACTGTTTGATCTAACTTGGAAAGCCATCATTCTTTGCCTCTTTGGTGAAAATGAATAGTTTAAGACTTTTGTAGAGACAATCCCTTAAGCACCATCTATATATCGAGAGATGAATGAAAGGAAACGAGAAGAATATGTTTCACATCCAATGTCTCATCAACCCTGGAAACTCTAATAAATATTATTGCACGAGTTTCATGTTCCAAGAATCTGAGACAGAAAGGGTACAATCCTTTAATATTTTGTTGTTAACACGGGTTGAAACTCTTCAATTTTTTATGCACTTCTTAACCATTTTGTCAATCTGTTATTCTGTTTTCTTGAAGTCATATATGCATCAATGCCTCTATTTCTCCTCAAAGAAGATTCGAGTTCCTGAACGGATTCCTTCGTAAAAAATATAATATCACCGGCAATTCCACAAATGCCAATGAGCTTAAGAGATCTATCGAGCGACTCACTGGCCATATTTTCAATGATGAGGGCTTTCTGGAGAGATGGAAGCTGAATTAATTTATTAATATCTTCATGCAAATTTCTGCGGCTGGCCAACTGTGTGCATATGGAAGATTCTGATACTGGTGCTTCTTTGGAGGACTTTAGCCTGCAGATATGGTCTTCAACATTAGCAATGCCTGGATGAGAGTTAGATGACAAACTGTTTGATCTACATGGAAAGCCATTTTAATTTTCAACTCTGATTGATGACCAGGGTTAAGTTGAATAAGCTATATTTTTCAATCTTCATGATGAGGGTTTAGTTGAACTAGCTATGTATAGGCAGATAAACTAGAAAGGGACACAGAGAATATTTTCCACCAAATATGTGTGCCATAAATGATCCAAATTAAATGGATCTTGTAGATCTCTGTGTGATGCTGTCATACTTGACTTATCAAACAAAAGGAATCGTGACAGAAGTTTATAATGTTCGATAATATTTTAATTTAAGTTCTTTCTTAATGATACTTGGTCTTTTCTCTTGTTTAAGATTTTACCCTTTACACAATTTCATCTTTTTCGAACTATTTTGATGAACTATAAATGGTCTTGATTGCCCTTCATTTGTGTGTTGAAGTTGCTCAACATATTTCATACAATCTCCTGAACCAGCTCCGAAAACGAGGCTAAAAATATTCCTCAGGTTAATATGCAATTCAAGCATATCATATGAAATTTCCAAAGGTCTCACAAAAATTTATAAAGCCATGGAAGAAAGTTTTCTATATTACTGCACCTGCCTCTGAGATTCATCAGGTAAAAACTCTGCAAGATCCACTAATTTTGTTATATGTTTTTGTATTCTCCAACATCCATATATTTGTTTTCGGTAAAGAGGGAATTGAGTGCCATAATTATAATATTACAGGCTGTGTTGTTTCTGATCTTCAAAGAAAGGGAATATATTATTGGTGCACACGAGTACATTATCTGCTTGACATTATTATACTTACAACCTCTGAATGAGTAAACTAATTAGACATCAACTTATGTACAGAATTGAAAAGATCACAACTTGAATCTGATTACTCACTAATTTTAAATCAAATTACAAGGAGAACATTGAAAATGACTATTTACAGTTCATACAGAAGAATTTCTTGACATCCTTGCACTAGCCATAATAATAGCTGACCTTGCCGTTGTGTAAAAATATTGACATTGAATTTTGTTTATACTTCGACAGACTCAGTTGTTCCTATTACAATGAAGAACATTTATTTTCGAGACTGTCACATCACCAAAACAATAAAATTTGATTTCCACAATGTAAATATGAAATAAATAATGAATAGTTGGAAAAGAAGAAAAAAAGGGTTTCCGTAACTGTATGAATTCAAAAATACTGTTCATGAAGATGAATAAAATGCATCGCACTTTTAAATAAGATTATAGTACCATGGAGTAATCAAGGACAAGTATATATGTATTCATTCTCTTCATTAACAAGTGTAAAAGGGACAAAACTGTATTAGGATGATTGGAATATTGACCATATCACCCTAATGGTTGGCTTCTTTATGTAAAGAAACTCATATTTTCGTCAAGCTCCTGAAAATGGCTTTCAGTCCCTTTTTAAGTTCTTGAATAGCTGGTTACAATGTCTTGAGTTGCTGCAGAACATCTTGTACTACCGTAGCCTAGTTCCTTTTTCTAGCTTTCTGAAGGGCATATTCTATCCTTCTGATTGCATGGACACAGCTTTCCTGTTCCTTGTCACAATTTGATTGCCTAAATTTGGAAATCAGTGGAAAATACCTTTTCTTTGACCTGTATTTTCTCCCTAATGCATATGAGTGTCCTTGTTTAATTGTTCAAAAAGGCAGTTCTTTTCGAAGTTCTTAAGATATTTAACAATCTTTAAAACCATCCTCTTGATCTTCCTTTTGCAAATAGCATAAAATTGAATTCCTGGATAGATTCTTCGCCTCTGCTCCTCTGAAGAATCCGTTCTGGATCATCAACAGATTCCTTCAAATACAACTGAATGTCTATTGCAGTTGGAGTACTACAGACATCCAACAACCTAAGAGATCCATCCAAAACCTTGGCTGCTAATCTGGTACCTTGTTCAAGGGAAAGGCTTGCTGCTAGATTGAAGCTGAATCAAATCGTCAATCCTTTCATGCAAATCTTTAAGGGTGGTTAAGTTGCTGCATATTGAAGAGGCCGAGGAAGATGTGGCTTTAGAGGCCTTTAACCTACAAAAAAATCCTCAACGTCTGTGGCTACTGGATGAGATCTAGATAAAAAAACTGTATGATCGGGCGTGGGAATTTGGATTGGAGGTTGCAAAATCATTAGCCATCTTTATTTGGCAAATTGAAAGGTTTTTAAGACTTCTGTAGAATTTGAGTCTTGAAGAATCACGTTTAGACATCGCTTTGGCACCTATAATATATGCATTGTTGAAGAAAGGAAAAGAAAGAATATGTTGAACCTACAATGTCTCATTATTACTGAAAACTGAAATAAATAAAATTGCACGAGTTTAATGCTCCAGGGATCTGAAACAGAAAGGGGACAGCCCTGGAATAAAATTGTTCTCAGCAGATAATGCCAACATTGGACGCTGAAAATGTGAATCATACAGTTTTCACTGACATGAAGCACTACTTTTCTTGAAGCATTGGGAATATTGACAGAAATGAAGTTGATTTGATAATTGGTCATTCAACTCATGAAGGAGGGGGTGTTGGTCATCTGTCGGACAATGGAGGAAATATAATAAAGGTGCACACGAGTACACGTAAACCTTCTTGACAACAAATGGGACCATATAATCACGATTAAAGATATAGTAATCCACCAATAAACAGCTATTGAAAAGCAATCCTAGCCCAAATTTGACGTGCCCAAAAATGACTTAATTTTTAATTGTATCTTTCAGGTGGCACTAATTATGCAGATCAATGAATTTGGTTATTGTTCACACATTAATTAGTCCAATGATAAAGAACAAGAAGAATCTTCACAGCCTAGCAAGACATTATTATTCCTGGTTGTTCCATTTGCATTATCATTAGTCATTACTGAACATAATCAAGCACATTGGTATCTTAATAATTAAGTTTAGATAATAACATTTTTGCATTCTGAAGTTGAACTTGTTAAGAAATATATGATTATTTTATTTTTATTATTTATTAAGGGTATAATAGTCTTTTAAGTTTCCTTTATTTAGACGATATATAGTCTCTTTGTATCTAGGTTTTCAGCATTCAATTACATTATGGAGAATCAATAAAACCCTAGCCTCTTTTTCTTTTTCTCTTTGAATTGTTTAACAGAACTGATCCATGTGCTTCAATTAATTGAAGTGTTTAGAGATAGGCTAAAACTATAGAGTACTACATACCAAACTTACGTTTAGATAATTTAAAAGTCAATGGAAAAGGTGAAAGTCCCACCATTGAAAGTAAAGGTACTTGTATGCTTGGTTGAAGGTTCACAAATATTGATTATATTATATGCATATTGTCAATGATCTACAAAATTGAGCATTATCGCTAAATTAAGGCTAGTTGCTCAGGACATTAAGAAGAGAAACTCTAATTTTGAGTAAACTCCTAAAGAAGGCTTCTAAGTTCTCTTCAAGTTCCTGGATGGTCATTTCTGATGCATTCAACTGCTTCGTGACATTTTGCACAGATACTGTGTCCATGTCTTTTCGCAATTTGTTGATATTCAAGCCATACAATTCCTGAGAATTGCTCTCTTCTTCTGTTTCAGAGTGTACGTGGCTTGATTGGGTGAACTTGGAAAGCAGGGACCAAGTTTTTTGCTTTGATGCAAAAATGGTCAATGCAGACTTGAGGATGGAAAAGCCAATGACCTGTGATTCTTTCAGAACGGTTGCAATGGCCTTAAGATTGTTGTCCTTGTTTGCAGAGCTTTGTTCCAAATTCTTCAAATTTTTGATGCAGTTTTTTACCATTTTGTCAATCTTTTTCCTTGAAGCCATATATGCATCCATGCCTCTATTTCTCCTCAAAGACGATTGGAGATCTTGAACAGATTCCTTCATCAAAATTATAACGTCTCGAGCAATTCCACAAATGTCGACAAGCTTCAGAGATCCATCAAGCAACTCTCTGGCACAAGTTTCATCGGTAAGGGCTTGCTGGACAGATTGAAGTTGAATCAAATTATTAATATCTTCGTGCAAATCTCTGAGGCTGACCAACTGTGTGCATATGGAAGAAGATGATACTGATGCTTCTTTCAAGGACTTAAGCCTGCAAATATTATCTTCAACATTAGCAATTGCTGGATGAGATTTAGATGGAAAACTGTTTGATCTAACATGGAAAGCCATCTTTCTTTGTTGAAAGGAATGGTTTTTAAGACTTATCTAGAATTTAAATCCTGAAGAAAGATGTTTAAAATAATCTCTTTGGCACCACCTATATATAGAGAGATGAATGAAACAGAAAGAATATGTTGCACATCAAGTGTCTCATCACCGCTAGAAACTCTAATAAATATTATTTCACATTAGTTTCATGCTCCAAGAATCTGAAACAGAAAGGGGACAAGGTTTGAATATTTTGTTGTTAACACATGATGCTAGGATTTGAAGCTAAAAAATTGGATCATGCAGATCTCAGTGAAATGATGCTTTACTGTTCTTGAAGCATAGGGTATCTTGACGGAGATGAAGTGTATATAATAATGTTAGTCATTCATGCTTATCTTCGAAAAGTGAAGGAAATACAATATAGGCGCACAGGAGTACACGTAAATCAGCTTGAAAACAAATGGGAATATCTGATTATCCAAAGGGAGTAAAAAATTCAAAAATTCACCAGTAAACTGCTATTAAGAAACAATCACGGCCATTCTTTTTACGTGCTTAAATATGTCTTTAACTTGTTGATTGTATCTTTAGGATGGCACTAGTATTGGGATCAATGTAAATTGTTGTGTTAATCCACTAACTATTCAATTATAAAGCACAAGTCGAATCTTGATAGCCTAGAACTATAAATTGCTTCTGGCTGTTGCAATATCATATTGTAATAATTGAATATTATTAAGCAAATTGTTTCTCTAATAATTAAGTTTAGCAAATAACATTTTTGCACACTAGAAGTTCAACTCATCCATATGTTTCAATAATTGTAGGTGCTTGATGTATTTAAACATAAGCTAAAACCAATTAGAAAAATGCGCAAACTATTATGACTTGTTTCGTAATGAAAAGTTTATGGTAATTGATAATACTAAAGAAGTAAAAAAGTCGAAATCTTGTCTATGATGTTTATCTGATCCTTTCCAATCATCGTATAAACCTCTCCCTTTAAGAGAACATTAAAGCCAGTACAAAAAGTGAAAAGTTCAAGTGCTGATGTAAAGGAACTTGTATGCTTGGTAAAGTACCAACAAAGATAACTTAAGAGTATATTTAGAGAGACAGATTGATCGACAAAAATGGATTGAAGGTTCAAAAATATTGACTGTATTTATATCAATACTGACAATGAATACAAAAGTATACGAGTATTATCACTAAAGGCTAATTGTTGAGGACATTAAGAAGAGAAACTCTTGTTTGAACTAAACTCCTAAAGAAAGATTCTAAGTTCTCTTCGAGTTCCTGGATGGTCATTTCTGATTCTTTCAGCTGCTTCATCACATTTGTCACAGATATAGCGTCCACGTCTTTTTGCAATTTGTGGATGTTCAAGGCATACAATTCTTGAGCATTGTTTTCTTTCTCTCTGAGAATCTACCCGGCTTGATTTGGTGAACTTGGAAACCAGGGACCAAGTTTTTTGCTTTGATGCAAAAATCGACAATGCATACTTGAGCACAGAGAAGCCAATGGCCTGTGCTTCTTTTAGCATAGTTCCAGTGGCATTAAGATTGTTTTCTTTGTTTAGGAACGTCGTCGAATATTGGTTAAAACTCTTCAAATTTTCGATGCACTTTCTAACCAATTTGTCTATGTTTTTTCTTGAATGTATATATGCATCAGTTCCTCTATTTCTTCTCAAAGAAGATTGGAGTTCTTGAATAGATTCTTTCATCAGAAATACAACTTCACGAGCAATTCCACAAATCTAGACGAGCTTGATAGATCCATCAAGCAACTCACTGGCCAAATTTTCGTTGGCGAGGTCTTGTTGGACTGATTGGATCTGAATCAAAATATGAATATCTTCCTGCAAATCTGAGTGGCTGGCCAAGTGTGTGCATCTAGAAGAAGCTGAAACAGATACTTCTTGAGATGACTTTAGCCTGAAGATATGATCTTCTACTTCAGCAATTACTGGATGAGATTTAGATGGAAAACTGTTTGATCTAACACGGAAAGCCATTTTAATTCTGAAACTTCGATGATCAATGCAAAGTTGAATCAGCTACAGTATTTTTGACTTGGATGATCAATAGAAAATTGAATCAGTTATATATAGGCAGACGAACAGGAAGGGACAGAGAGAATATTTTCCACCAAATATGATGCCTTACTATCGTTGTAATTCAATTATATGACTGCACACGAATACCTTGTCTCCATTGATGTTGGACAGGAAGGCCACCAAAAATGTTTAAAATTTGTATGTGCATCCTAATTAAATGGATCTTGTAGATCTCTATGTGATGCTGCCAACGTTGAACCAGAAAACAGAAGGAATCATGACAGCAATTCATTGTCCATACTTTTCGCATGCAACTTTCGATGAAATATTTTTGAACCTTAGAAGATATTAAATGTTGCACACACGAGTGGATTGTTATTTATTTGACATTATACTTGTAAGCCTTTGAATAAGTTACTAATTAGGACCACCTAAAAAAGAGAGAACTTTCTAACTTGTCTACCTTTTTAGGCCTAAGTAAAATATGTTCCAGTCTAAAATTTTGTTATATATGGAGTATGGTCATTCAAACATACAAAATGACTGTAGTGGCATATTTTTAAAATGTGCCATATGCATAGTTGATGAGATTCTTGACAATATGGAATTTATTGTCTACATTGATGACGAGGACTGGGGGATCTAATGGATTAGGAACTTTTGTCCACTTTGCCCAGTTTATCGAGAATGCCTAGATGGTTTGAAATTTCTAGAAAATGATTTGTAAGTATTTGGTAACCCTTTTGAAGAAGAAATAGTATCTTTGAAATAACAGAAGAAAGAGTATCTATGAAATAACGGACCAGAAATTTGAAAAAGTGGACATTATTTAGAAAACGGAAAGTGATGAACATATTTCAGTCTCTCTCCCCAAGAGCTACCTCTAAGGAAAAAAAATTTAGTAACATTACAGTAATTTTATCTTTTAAACAAATCTATTTTCTCCTAGAACATTGAAAAAATCATTATCATTGTTCAAAAATTATTGAAGGCCTTCAATCACTATTTTGAAAAAAAAAACTCTAGACTAACGTTTTGAGGTGCTCTCAATTAGGACTTTCAAAACTTATTTCTTAGTGCCATTTTTCAAGACTTGTGCCTTGACTCAGTTTAGTGCGCAGCTCTAGACATCTGCCATGGGATGACCTCGCGTTAGGACTCTCAAAACTTACATCGTCAGTGCCACTTGTCAAGACTCGTGCCCTAATTTGGTGTGCAACTCAACACATCACTACCACATACACTGGAGTTCTTAGCTCCAGTGGTGCTACATAGCATTAATCTTAAAAATTAACCATCATTTCCTCCAGGTACGCTACATAACAGGATGTATTAGGCTTCCATAGACACTTTTGATTCGACAAGCTACACAACATCGAAGAAAAACTTCCTACAACAATGGTTATAACTTTAGCCGTAGCCGTCGAACAAATCTTCTTTATTCAAACCCCCACCTTTTTCATCACCGTTTAAAGAGGCAAAAACCCTCATTTTTACCAGAACCCCACCTTTAATGAACACAACACTCTTTGTACTTATTATTGGCAATTAACTACAGTTTGTTGAGAATTGTTCATTTACTTTAAAGTTGTTTTCTTGCCCTCTGGGAATTTATCATTGAGATCTAGATGGAAAACTCTTCGATTGGATGTGGGAATTGATTTGCTTTGGAGGTTGCAGAATATCCAGTCATCTTTCTTTGGTAAATGGTTTTTTAAAAATATGAAGAATTTGAGTCCTAAGATGATGAAGACATCCCTTTAGCTCAAACTATATATGTAGAGATGAAGAAAGTAAATAGAAAATAAACATAATTGTGAATGAAAATTTCATGCTCCGATGATCTGAAACAGAAAGGGACAGCAACTGAATATTTTATTCTTTATAGAGAATGCATGCATTTGGATCATGCAGATCTCAGTGAAATAATGCGCTACTGTTCTTGAAGCACAAGGAATCTTGACATCAATGAAGTTGATTTAATAGTATTGATCATTCAACTCATTAAGGCTGTGGTGCTGCTTATCTTCGGACAATGAAGGAATATAACATAGAGCGCACACGAGTATGCATTAACCGCTCAAAAAATGGAATCGTTACTGAAATATAATTGCTTCTGCCAGTTGCATTATCATATTGTCATTACTAAAATCAAGCACATTGGTTTTTTAATAATTGAGATAAACTGATGCATGTGCTTCAATTAATTGTAGTGCCTGTTGTGCTTAGAAATATGTTAAAATAAGATAAACAGATGGACAGAGTGTTGTAGAAATTAAAGTTAATAGAAAAGGTGAAAGTTCTGCCCCTGAAAGTAAATCTACTTGTATGCCTGCTATCAATAAAATCTTGAAGAGGAACACACATTAGTATACATTTTGACAGACAGATCAACAGAAACGGGTTGAAGGTTCAAAAATATTGATTGTATTATATCCATATTAACAATGATTTACAAAATAATGCTCACTATATTGAGGCTAGTGGCTCAGGACATTAAGAAGAGAAACTCTAATTTTGACTAAACTCCTAAAGAACGCTTCTAGATTCTCTTCAAGTTCCTGGATAGACATTTCTGAAGCATTCAACTGCTTCATGACATCTTGCACAGAAAATGCGTCCATGTCTTTTCGCAGTTTGTTGATGTTCAAGACATACAAGTCCTGGGCATTGCTCTCTTCTTCTGTTTGAGAATATACACGGCTCGATTGGGTGAACTTGGAAACCAGGAACCAAGCTTTTTGCTTTGATGCAAAAATGGTCAAAGCAGACTTGAGGACAGAAAAGCCAATGACTTGTGATTCTTTTAGCACTGTTGCAATGGCCTTAAAATTTTTGTCTTCGTTTGCAGAGCTTTGTTCGAAACTCTTCAAATTTTTTATGCACTTTTTAACCATTTTGTCAATATTTTTCCTTGATGTCATATATACATCAATGCCTCTGTTTCTCCTCA